GTCTTATCAACGCCTCCAGCAGGAATCGAACCATGACAGTTCAGCGTGTAAACTCGACACGTCAACCACTCGGCCACTGTGCCACGAATGACCTTGGGTCACAGGGCGGATGTGAATTTCAAGGAAGGTCAGGCATTTTCCATATAACATTCTGTGTTGGGATTATAGATGAAGCAAACTTATATGTGCTATAGCAATCGACGACATCTCATGTATCTAATTTACTTGTAGTCTCGAAAACTCAATACAGAAAAAAGCATGTAATCACAACTTTGGGCTGCCACAATGGCCATTAAGTCACAAGTTGAACGTAGATTTCAGGGCAAGTCAGGTCTCTTCCATATTCCACTTTTGCAATGGGACTGGCGCCAAAGTAAACATGTATTTAAGAGCTATATTCGTTCCATTTGGTTTGAGGTTATGAAGAAGTGGTAGCTGAATTTTTCCACAATAATATGAGTATGCCTCATGGTTACACTACATTTTACATATCTTTGCTTCCCTAAAGATATTTTAATCCGGATTGGACTGCCGTTTCAGCTTCGGAGCCCCCAACACTTCACCACACCAGCGGGACTCACGCCCGGATTGTGGTTTCGCAGCGTTTAGTCCCGATACGTTAACTACCACGACACACCGCCACAAGTGCTTTTTGGTTACAGGACAAGAATGAATTGCAAGGAAGCATAGGCATTTTACATATCACATTTCTGAGCTGGGATTGTCGACGATACAAAATTGTGTTTGCTATAGTAATGGACTATATAAATCGATATTTTTTCAGGTTTGCAGTAGAGTTTCATTCACCCTATTTATTTTAGGATGATGTAGAACTGATAATTGAATGTTATATCATATCTACTTGTAGTCTGAAAAACATACTTTTAAACGGGAAATAATTAATGTAGTCGATTGGTATAGCAAATTCAACTTGGATTCATCGACAGAAAGACTCAGCCTTCATATAGATTCTTTTCCGTCCTGTTACTCAGTGTCAAGATTAGAGACTACCATACCAGACTTTGGGTTCAAGTCCTGATGGGATTGCTGATGAGAATCGGGTAATGTTCAAATTGAAGGTCAGTCCAGCCTGGGTGAGAATACATGTTGGGAAGCAAGGCTATGAAATTCAATGGAAGCATGAGGTCTGGGGATATCACTGTGAGAAAATTTAACTGTCACTCCTTCGTAATCGTAAACGAAAGTGTGAACACAGCTTTTATATTAGATTTACTGCTATTCTTCTAAACCTACTTTCAAAATGAAAATAAACATGTATATGCCATTACAGCCGACATCATCGTTAGATCTTCTACAAGAGCTAAACTTCCCCTATTCAGTTTCAAGAGACTTTTCCCAGTTTTCCATTGTATTTCACATAGCTTTTTTTTCAAACGGTAGTCTTGAAACCGACTTATAAACGAAAATATGAACTTTGATCACCATTATTTGCTGAACATGGCATGTTCTAAGTAAACTCTGCTGAATCACAGTCTGGATGAGAATACTTAAATTAAATAGAGTGTCCTTATGTCAACTCATAGCATTTTGGTAGGAATTCCTAAATTCACGTTTCAAGTTATTTTTCATTTTTCATACCTATCCTCTCTACATGTGTGGCCGCCTATCACGTTTTTTAACCCTTACTCCGAGACAACCGCATGCATACACTCGTTTCGAACCCAGGAAACTCAGCATATATTTTTCACATGTACGCCTTAAGCAACTAGACTGCTAATTTCATACTGATAGTATCGTAGTTAACATAGAGATTGAGGGTATTCTATGCTCGGTATACCGCAACTCCATATAATGTGGTTTGGATCCCATTTCACCTCTCATCTTTGACGTTTCCTTTCAAAGCCAGAGTTTTGTGGATGATTGCAGGACTGAATACCTGCTGGACTCGCAGACACTCCGGGCTTCAAACCTAAAATCGCAAAATGTCAGTCGCGCCCTCGCAGTCAGAGCAGAGCACGCTTTTTCTGTCCAAACAGGTCACGGAATCGACGAGAGCCAACACTGTTTATCGCGATTTCACGCCTCCATTCCCAAAATGACCAGATGAATGGGTGGAGTGAGAATATTTTCAATAGGAAAGCTTGCATCATCCAATTGGGTTTGCAGGCTGTGGAGCCCGTAGGCACGCTCGTCTTGGCGGCAGATCTACGGGACGAGTGTAATGGATCTGGCATCTGTCGATGTGCGCAATCTCTGTGCGACTGTGGCCCACCCCATGGCCGTCCTATCGGATGATTATGGGATAGGGAGGCGTGCTTGAAGGGGACGGCGGATGTGTGGGGTCTCGGCAAGCCCCAAATTTCACCAACTTCTCTCCATCTCAAACGATGACACCCACATCCGCCTCTTGTCGAGATTACAAGGTCAGCACGTTTGCCCAGTATCTCGTCTGAGCCAATCCGTTTTAGCCAATCGAAAGCCGGCATTCGGTACCCGGGCCCTGTCATACCGGCGTCAACTAAGTCTATTTCTGTCAGATTATCACCATTCGACCAACCCAAATTTGAGTTAACGCTAAAGGCGCGAGCATTGTGTGACCGATCGTGGCCGGAAGGTCTTGGCCGGGCAGATTTTAACCCCAGCCTGACACTAACAGTATCCATTTTTTGTGCAAACCAAAACTCTCTTTTTTGCAGACTTACACAACCCAATTAGGCCGTATCAACCAAACCAACCCCCGCTCAGCAGCATAAATACACCAAAACGCACAAGCACGTACACACACACGCACACACACATATAGCCTCTGAGGCCAGGTGGGATGGCGAACCTGTCGACTGCTGAAGTCGGCAACCCCAGTCTCGTGGCCGTCTCAGCTGGCGCCAACTGTGGTCCCATGTTTCCAAGGCCGACGAGTTCGGAGCTGGAGCATCACCTCTCCACTGGCATGCTGTTGCCCAGTCAATTGTTGGCGGCTGTGGCCGCGGCTCCGATGAGTCCTACACCGGCCTCGGTCACCGGGTTCACCTCGACGCCCCGCAGTCTTCATCACTCCACCGCCCAACTGACCAGTCTGTCTCTTGCACCCTGGGTCACTGGAGGCAGGCCGTCGCGAGGGTCTCTCGTCACCGGGCAAGACGACGATGACGACGCCGACGACGATGAGCCGACGGAAGAGCTTCGTCAAGTGGTAACCGGTGGAGCTGTTGCCGGGGCTGCCACTGCTGCCGCCGTTGTTGCTACGGCCAACGCAGCCGCGGCGGCAGCCGCCGTTGGTACAGCTGGTCTGACCGTCTCCAGTCCCGGCCCGGCGGGCCTGCCCAGTCGAGAGAATTCCGGCCAGCCAGGCTTGGGCTCGAGTCCCAGCACGGACCAATCACGCTCTCCGGACCTGACTTTTCCTGGCTGTGAAACGGTCGCCTCCTGTCCGCCGATCGAGGCTCGTCTCGTGTCGGCGCCTGGCTTGCTCTATCCCCACAGCCGGTCGGAAACTGGTAGCGCGGCCCGCCTTAACGGTTCGGCCGATTTCTACCCGCCCTACGAGGCTCAGGCGCCGAACGCCGACTTTGAGACGAAAGGGTACCAATCGGAGGCTGTAGCACAACGGCGAAAGCTGGAGCACGCCGAAGTGGATGAGGAGGAGGAGGAGGAGGAGGAAGAAGAAGAAGAGTCGTTTCTGCACGAGGCTGGAGGAAGGCGGTACAAGAGGCGTGGAGCCTCGCGCCATCGAAACGCTGGCAGAATGCAACGTCTGAAGGAGGCAGATGGACGAGGCGGAGATGCGCCCGACGACGGAGAAAAGGCTGGCGTTGACGACGACCAAGTAAAGACGGAGGTGGCGGCCAAGCGAGACGACATGAAGTTGGCAAAAAAGGGTACTGAAGTCTCGACGTCCTCGTCGTCTTCGTCGTTGTCAGGGCTTCGAAAGTCAAGCCATTGGCTCGGAGGCGACGTAGACAACTTGAATGGTGCTCGACCTTCCAGATTGGAGGCTGCCGTTTACGATGACGAGTCCGCTATGCCAGGCCTGCACGATGGCTGCTCGGCTCAACTGCGCAGCCAGGCGACGGCCGGCAACGGGGACGCTGTTGTCTCTATCCAAGCGGTAGAGGCTGGTGTCGATGTAGTTCAGGACGTTGGTCTCAGAACTGACGGCTATATTGACTACCAGACAGGCCTCTTTTCCGAGTCTGACCGTGGAGGCAACGGCGGGCTCGACTTCGTCGCCAACCAATCGGTCGACTTTTCTCGACTCGGCTACCCGACGTCCGGTCGTCTGATGGCTGCCTCGAGACTGGCACTCTCCGGAATTGGCGGAGAACCCGGGCCACAGGACCGACTGGTGAAAGGAGAGGAGGAAGCCAGTTTGCAAAGGAACCAGTCGCAGCGCTGTCCTTCCAACCGGATCGACATGGCAGCCTATTGCCTGGCGATGAGTAAACAGGAACAAACAAAGGTGAAATCGGGCCCTCCGGCTGACTGTGTTGGTGGCGATGCTGATGAAGATGATGATGATGATGGCGAAGAGGAGGAGGAGGAGGAAGAGGAGGAAGAGGAGGAGGAAGAGGAGGATGAGGAAGAGGAAGAAGAAGAGGAGGAAGAAGAAGATGGACAAGGTCTTGAATGCGCTGAGGTTGGCCAGCTCGGCTTTCGTGGGGCCAACTGTGGCCTTGAACAGTTCGACCGACTGCCACGAAGACTGACCGAAAGCGTCGAATTTCGCACGCCTCAATGTACCCCTAGCCTCACGTTGCCCGGCCAGACTGGACAACCTAGAAACGGTGTCTGTAGCACTGAAGACTACATGCTGCCGGGGGCCGGACAAGTGTCTCCGGCCGTTGTCGCATCAGAAGCCGCTGGACCGACAGGTGACGGCGCCACGATGAGTCCCGGCATTCGTTTGTCTGAACCGACGGTCTATCACGACTTTCTGGTGGCGGCGGCCAATGCAGCGGCAGACGCAGAAACTGGCGTTGGTGGCGAGCCGCCGAATGGCCGTAGATTGTCGTCGTCCATTTTCTACACGACCGCGGGCCTCCAGCCTGGCACGGCAGAGTTTAGCCGGTGCCCACCAAACAGCGTCTTCACCAACGGATTTATCCCGGCCGGCTATTCTTCCGACCGAGGCTATCAAGCAGGTAATGCGGGTCTTTGATAGGATTTAAGGTAAACGGAAAATTGTACCAATATTAAGAGAAATTGGGAAATTCCATTTGGAGCAAAACATTCGCGAGTATGGAATCTGAAGTCAGTGGGCAAATCTGAGGCGCTCTTGGTTGATAAAGTAAAAATTGTTGTAGGGACTTGAAAGTGTATGATAAAGAGGGCCATGGATACATCCCATCAGAAGACAAGAGATGGTCAGGGTTGTTCTGAGGTCATTTAGTGCTCAGATTGCTGCAGTCCACGAGACATGTTTCCTTGTTTCATCCCCCATACGGTAGAGCTCGTCAGAGCTTGAAAGCATTCTTGTAGAAACTACAATTTGGCACTGAGTCAAGAAGACTATTCGGCTCTATTGAATATATGAAGACCAAGATGTTTTTGCCTCTGGTGTGGTCGCAGTCTCCTTTCGATGGATAGAAGTGGGTTGACCTCGTTGTCGCAACTTGGTCT